AGGAGCCTTTATATTTTTCGTTGCATTACTCGGTAGAGTAGTTGGTCAGAATAGTTGCGTTAACATTAAATACAGAATTTGTCCCAGTTAACTTCATGATGGTAGAGTCATTTGTGTAGCCGGAAGTGTAGCACAGCTAGCGGAAGATAGTAAGCGCCGGAAGTACGACTATAACGAAAGTTGAGGTATCTTTTCTATCTTTTGGCAGTCGAAACGCTCGGGACATTTGGTAGAGCCTTCGCTGAGTTGATTCGATTCGTCGGCCGGAAGATTCGTGAAGTTACCGAGGAACCCTTCTTGAGACAGCGACTAAGCCTAGCGGTAGTCAGAGGAAATGCAACAGTCGCTTTGCGTACAATGAGTGCACGTCCTAAGATCGCGAATGATTCTAACGATTTTGAGTGTTTTTTTAATGTTTAAAATTTCGTAATCTTATAAGTGAAATATGCGCAAGCGTATTGATCTGTGCACCGGCTGTTGCAAACTTTCATTCCTGAGTTGTGAGATATTCGTAGATTAACATTATGTCTTGATAAATCGGCCGGTTGTGTACAACCTTATGAGCGATATTATTATTAATGCGCCACAAGAGCAGAAAACCCCAAAGGAACTTCATGTCCCGTTGAACAAAAACAGTTTTGTGCTATTACGAACATTTAGCACAGATAAACAGATTTAAGTAGAAATTTGAAAGCGGGTATTCATTGACAAGAGTCCTCTTCGGCTTCGGCTCTGTACGTTTTTGTTTTGCAAGGTAAAGCGTACACACTGTTCTACGTCCAGTGGGGTAGGGAGGTATGGGGCCACGAGATACGGATCTACGTGTACCGTGCTTCCGTCGACGAATATAAAACAGTTAGATTTCCGGAACAAAATAATTGGCCATGGTACATTTGGCGCAGCATGCAAGCAAGCTCTGCTGTACCACGGACTGCCTCGGTGCGAGTCAAGCGGAAGTGCTCTGACCGGCGGTCGGACGACAGCCGTCACGACGCGGCGTTTCGATGGACGCTGGTCAGCACACGCGGCGCGGCCAGGATAGTTGCAGTGTGATGACTCAATTTATTTTTGCTGTTGCAGTTGTAGTTTATAGTGTTTGTTTTTCAGAATCCTATCTATATTCTCTCCTTTTACTGTCATTTTTTAGCTTCAGAGTAAACCGCATTCCGACGTTTCGTCCGCTTGGGCTAAGAATATTGCAGAGATGGTCTGGTTGCGTCTGGAGTAAACCATTGTCATAGCGCGTTATCAAATTGTGTCAGCACCCTAATGGCGTCCCTAAACCTTACTGTATCGACACCGCATGAACGACGAGATCCTGCTGCGGGACTGTTAAGCTGCACCAAAGAGACGCTCGTCAGTGGAGATCTGAGCGATGTACAATTCTCCGTTGGCAGTGATTTTGGTGCTGCAAAGGCCTTCAAAGCCCACAAGTATGCAATTCCACCTTCAGTTCTCTGTTGTTTTCGCTAATTTTCTGGCTCTGCAGGTACATTGTGAGTATTCGCAGCACGGTGTTCTATAGGATGTTCTACGGCAGCGTGCCCGAAAACGGTCCGCAAGTCGACATTCCCGACTGCATGCCCGATGCATTTGAGAACATGCTCAGGTGCGTGAATAAGAATGTTAAAAGTGATTAATGGATCCACTGCAGTAGTACACTGCGTCAGAGGCGTGGGGCGGTATGGACAAAGCCGTTGTGGAGTACCCCCAAGCATTTTTAATACTAAATCCGCGAAGCGAAGCTCCATTATGTTCAAGAAAACGGGACTTTTGTCGGTCGCGTCGGTCATGTCATGGTATTTTACATAAAATTCATAAGAGGGAAAATGTTGAAAACTATATTTATTAAACACATAAAATAACAAATAAAGTGTTTGTTTAATTTTGTTTCCCGCCTCGCTTCGGTCTTTCATTGTTAGCCAACAGCGGCGCACATCCCTAGTTTTATGTATGTTTGGTTTATTTATGTTTGTAAATATTTAGAAATTTAGTTTTTGTAAAATAAAAATAGCATGTACATAGATAACTGTTGTTAAAAAAATTACGAAGTATCTGGTATACCGCTTCGTACAGCTACATGTACACCGATGCCGTGGATGAAAAAAACCTCACGGTTGACAACGTCTTCCCGACAATGCGCTGTGCGGACAAGTACGACTTACCCCAGCTGACCGCCATCTGCTCGGACTTCGTGTTTGCCCAGTTGAATGTCGAGAACTTTATAGTCACGTTCGAGCAGGTAATACACGCACATTTTGGGCCGCGCTGACTGGCGCCCGACAGTCACGATTTGTTCTTCCGAATCCCGTGTTGCAGGCCATCCACTGGAAGGCGGACCAGAGAAAACATGCAAATACGGTATCGTGCAACAACATAAATATAAAAACCGTGTAGTACTTATAATAAAAAACGGCTAATAATGATAAATATATATCTGCAGGTAGAAGCTTAATTTTTGCACAAGGAAAGAATTTGGAAAACTTAATTTCTTCGTTGGAGACTTTCATGATTTTGTATTAATTGGTAGTACAATCTCCCATGCCCGACACCGAGACTGCAAGCTAATTTTCAGCAAATTTCGAGAAAATTTCCTGTCAATGATACGCTCATGTTTTTACCATTGGCCGAAGAGCGAAGAAAGGAAAGCGACGCAGGAAGCGTGGCCAACGCCAAGGGAAGCACTTCGGTATCGGTTAGACGCGGTGAATGCCACGGACACGCCTCATCCCGCACATTCCGCGAGCAGTACTTGCAGCCACCTCTCGACTGGGTCTTTCCTTTATTCACTGATCCGCACCCTAAAACAGTACTTCAACATAAAAAGTGACGCACTAGAGAACGTACGCATAACGTGTGTTTCTAATGAAAAGTATAACATGACTCGAACTATGAAGCCTCTCCTATCCATTCCCGTAGAGGAGGTTCGCAAAACATTAAAAAATGTTTATAAGATGCGTACGCTCTTCTTGGCTTCATACAGGTAACAAGTTTTATCGTTTTTATGATGCTGTTGACGAATCCTTAACAGTAGCAACGCGCTGCGCTCGATGCAAACAAACGACCAGGCTGAATTCAAAGTACGGGATGTGTACTGCAGTTGTACCCAGTACACGTTGAACAAATCGTACCGTTGTCGGATTCCATTCCCGAACCCGGCGGATTCCATGAGGCTGGTGGCGGGCAAATCGCAACAGACACGCTGGAAGATCGTGGAATTGCAACGGGAGCGGCAATTTCGGGAGATTCAGCACGTGTTGCAGGGTGAAGCTGCGCGAGGGGCTCCAATGCAGTCGCAGCAGTGACTGTTGTCACAGGTGCCAAAATCAGATAGAAAGAGGTGTTCGCTGCGTTGCTGTTCTGCATCGCTGCGGCCTGCGACTGGTCTACTCGCCGCCAATTCACGGAAAGCAGAAGGAGCAAACTTACATGAAATCAGCCATTTCAAATCCCAAAAACATCCCAGTACACTACACTGTACTGTAAATTTTAACTATATATAGCAACATTTGCAACCAATTACAAATATGTCGTAAAATATGCAGCTAGCAAAAACCAAAACACAGAATCAATTTTCGTAGCACTCGAAACTGGCGGCTGATGGGTGGTTACAACTTCCGTAGCCAAAGCCATGCAGCAACGGCTATCGCCCGACCGGCAGTACATACTTCCGATTGGCAGGCCACCCAGGCGGTCAGTATTGCGACAGAATCCCCTTTGGAAGACCCGGCGTTGCAAAGCAAATTGCACGCTTATATTTAAACTCCGGATGTTGGACAATAGTAGCAAGATTTCATATTTCCAATTAAACAGCTTACAGATAGGATAAATTTCTGGAGCTTTACAGAGCAAGACGCTCCCGGTGCCGCCGTGCAACGCAACCGGCTTAGGTTTGAACTTTGAATTAACGTCAAACGGCGAAGATTTCCAGTTTTATTACTATGTGCCTAAGTGTATGTTTTTCCACGGCCGATGGGTACGTCTCTGGATACAAGAAACTCCTCATCGAGATCAACAGACAGTGCATCACCGAAATACAAAAAAGAAAGAAAATGAACCAATGAAAGTGTCAGCTTCAAAGCCAAACCAATTAAATCATTATTAAATTACAGGAAATTTTTGGCGCATTTAGGAGAGTGGATTGCTGACTTCATCGGACCTCTTCTTCTTCAAATCAATGAGGGTGTTGAGCAGCTGCATGTAGCGCTGGAACACCGGACCGGCAGCGTCGTTGAAATCCCGCGTGGCTTGCGGCGCGTACTGCAGACATTTGATGATGTACGTCTCCATGACGCGTCGCCGCTCCGCCGGCGTGTTGCCGCGGATGTGCGTGCCCGGGTGGTCGATGGCGGCGTCCCAGGCGTCGCGGCGCTCGTCCGTCCGCAGGGGGTACTGGAAGGGATTCATCTGCACGACGGCTTCCAGTCGGGCCACCATTTCGGGTTTATCGTAACGGTAACGTCTCGGTTGGCGTTTTTTATCTGTAGGGAGGAAATTCATATGTCGAAGATGGAAGGTAATTAAAGCTGGCCCATTTCACAAAGTACCGCCTATTTTTTTTAATAGATTGGTAATATGGATTCGCGTGCGCCAGAGATAGGGGCGCTCTCCGCGCTGTTCCACATTAGAAAACGTGTATAAAACACAAATTATCCCGAATAGAGCCAGCAATGTCAGTCTCTGGTTTTTGCTACGTGAATCCATATTGCGAAAATGTCCGTAATGTAAAAACTGAAAACGTGGCCGTTGTATCCAGTTTTCCCAATTAATTTTCTTTGAAAAACCAATCTAACCAAACCAGTTTGTGAACTGTTTTTCATGGGTGTTATTAAACGAATCATTAATCTGCGAAACTGCGGTACTTAAATCAGGATACGTAGGTAGCTATTTTCTTCAAACGCGGAGTGACCGAAATACAAAAAACACCGGCGTAAATAATTTACCTCTCACAGGTCCCGTGTCAGATAAAATGTTCGTCGCCGATGAAACAGGATTAACTTCGTCCGTCACAAGAATATCCCCGTCAGACGGGCACGCGGTATGACCGCTTTCGTTATGCCGCAACGGCGCAACCAGCCACCTTCCGTCATAAAGTTGAGCCGGCACACTGCGCATTTGTACGGGAAATCCTGCGGCTGCCTGCGTCCATCCCGGTACTCGTACTCATAAGCATGCAGCTTCCGCGCCCTCCGCTTCGCCTTCCGTTTCCTGCTGTGCACCGGGCAGCGATGGGAGTTCAATGCTTCGAGGGTCCGGAAGTTCTTCCCGCACTGCTGACACGGATGACCGGAGGCGGAATGGTGCGTGGCCATGTGCTGGGACAGGTCCCATGCACTGCGTTTAACGGCACCGCAGTCGCTGCAGACACATAAGGATGCGGCGTCGTGCTGCGCGCGGTAGTGCTGGCTAACCAGGTGGTAAATGTCGTAGGTCTTGGGACAGCCCGGATGCGGACACGGGAACACATCCGCCTGTTTATGTTGCACTGCGTGCAGCGCCAGCTGTATCCCGGTGGGGAACAGTTGGGCGCAGAA